GGGCTGCGCCTCTCGCACCTCTTGCAAACGTAAAGTTAAAGCAGACACGTGGGAAGCGTGTCAATGAATCACGGTTTCAGTGATCACCTCACATCGGTGCCTTCGTTTGTCCCCAGAACTCTTGTCGTTTGTTTTTGTAATGTCTTGTAACGTTTTTATGCTCTGAAGTTTCCCTGGTGTCTAATTTTTTTTAAATGAATGCCTCTAAGCCCTAAAGGGGACAAGAACACCACTGTTAGTTGTGGTTGCACACAGAGCTTTCCTCCTTTAGCTTCTAATTAATGAACGGGCAACAAAACACGGTCTGTTTATTCACGGAGGAGGGAGTGAAAAATGGAAGGGTTGGCTCTGCCGGGCTGGGGCTCGGTTCTTACAGTGAATGACAAAAAACATGCTCAGGACAAACAAAGGTACCAATCTAACGTGATAACTGAACCTGGGGTTCGTTGAATTGCTTCCTTGACATTTCTCTTCAATCGTTGGTGAAATTCTGGGCTTTTGGGTGCTCTGGCCTGGAGAGTCTGAACCCAGAGCTGGTGCTGACCATGTCAGGAGAGGCTCCTGTCAGGAAAGTGCACCCAACTATCAAGGAATGAGCAGGGAGAAATTATGTTGATAAGTGTCCTGGAAGTAATAACTGTTGCCATTCATCAAGTGGCACCACGTGTCAGAAGTCGCAGATGCCTTTCACTGCCAGAGGGAGGTACTTTGATGATGTTATTCTAAAAATAAGGCAATGAGTGCTCTGGCTTTGTAGACAGTCTGTGTGAGAAGCTGTGGTGTTTACCTCCTCATTTGTAATACTTTGCTAACAAAGAATTTGTCTGAATGAAGTACTCTTTTTGGCAAGCACCTTTTCTCTGGGCTGTTTTAGGGAGACTTACTTTTCTGGAGGTATGTGCCAGGGTCAGGATGTGATCTGTAATTCCTTATAGTGCAGGTTGGCTTTTCTGCAGAGTTCTCAGGAAGAAAGAAGGTGAGGCTGTGTAAAGATCTTGCAGTTTTTCACTTCACCCAGGTTTATGCTCTGCTTAGAGTGGACGATGAAGCTGTGATGGAAGAGTTTATTTGGAGGAGAGCATTGAATGTAACTGAATAAAATATTGTTCTATACTTTCATTAAGTTTCTTCTTAATGACCTTCAAATGTCCAAGTAGCAAAATCAAATTGAACTGGTAACCTGATATAAATGGGAAGCTTTGATATGAGTGCACAGTGTCAGTTGTCACCTTCTTTGGGTCTTTCCTTGGTTCTTCAAGGACGTCTGAAACTCCTCAGCTAAAAGCTGATGTTCCTTAAATCATTTTTCTTGTATTACAAGGTGATCTGCTCCGAGTTAATTGCAAGTTTGAAAAGGCATGAGCTAAATGGAAGCCTGAAGTAATGGTCATAATTAAAACACTTTGCACCTTTTCCCGTTGTTTGCAGGAGTAGCAGAGAATTATGGACAATTCTGCTGGGCAGATCAGCTTTAAGAGAACCAGTAAGTCCGTGTCCTGCTGAGCAGGTTTGGCCATCACTGAAAGGGCTCCGTGGCCAAATACATCATTTGTACATCTGGTTGAATATTAGTGAAAATATTCACTGTTTTGCTGTTTTTCCCTCTTCCTCAGTGTGTTTTTTGTTCCTCTGTCTCTGTTACTTTTTCATTCTTCCACTGCTTGTTTACAGCTGCTGCATGAACTGCCTGGAAGGGTGTATGGAAAAGGTGGTTCCTTTTCTGGAGTGGGCACAAGTGCTGCTTCCTAGACTGGCTGGCCTGGGGTGTTGATGAGTGGTGCAGCCTGCTGCCTTATTTTAAGGGATGGAACCTGTGCTTCCAAGAATTTGCCCAGAGGTTGGAAATCCAAATGTTTCTGAACCCAGTCCATTACCTCCTATTTCCTTGCCCTTCCTGGGATTAGCAAGGCAGGTCTCTGCCTCCCTTTCCTGGAATCAGTCTGAGTCACAGACACCTGTCTTTTGTTGTTCCTGTCTCTGTGGTGGTGGAATTTCCTTGGTTTCTATAAATTTAACAAATCTGGTACCTGGTAGTGCACTTTGAGGAGTCTGTTCAGTGGTATTTGTTTCTTTTTTAGGCCCAGATTGCTGCAGAGTTGAACAAGCACTGGCAGAGGCTGTTAGAGGGACTGTCATACTATAAACCACCAAGGTACAGTCACTGCCTGATTTTAGAAATGAACTTCTAACGTGAGGTTTCCCAGTAAATGTTGATCATGTTGAATATTTATCTCTGATTACATAAAAATAGATTTTTGCTCTCTTGCATGACAAGACTTCAGGAGAGGAGGAGCAAGAGAAAGTACTTAATCCACATAACATTTTTGGGTATGAAATAAAGACCAGAAAGAAGTAACAGCGTTTTCTGCTGTCACTGCTGTCAGGTGGCTGTTAACCCCTGCCTTTGTGAGCTGCAGCACTTGTGCAGCTTGTGGAGAAGTGACTCCTCTTGACACTCAGTCATCCCAGAAGGACATCCAGATTCCCTCATTGAAAGGGGTGGAATGAGTATAATGTGCATTATTATGGTGATAAAATTGTGAACAATGTTGAGATTTGTCTGGTGGGAAGGTTGCTGAATATTGTTGTATGAAATATTGAAAGACCATTGAGGAAAAAGCAGATGTTCAGTTTAAACTGATAAAACCGAGGACTTTGAAATTATACCTGTTTAGTTCATTCCTTGGGATTGCTGCATTTTTAGTAACTGAAATTTCTTTTCTCTTTAGTACGACTTCAGCAGAAAAAATTAAAGCTGATAAAGATGTAGCTGCTCCACTAAAAGAGTTGGGTCTGAGGGTCAGCAAGTTTTTGGTGAGTGAAGCTGCCATCTGGTTATTTTTTATTCCTGGAATGAATTGTTACTGGGATTCTTATATATAAGTAATCTTCTTGATGTTGAGTAGAGGCAAATTTAAGGTCCTTTCAATTCAATA